TGGTTGTGAGTTAAGTGTTTCGAGCGCTGAACTGACAATAGTTTTGATATATTCTGTGGCAAAGTCTCTCATGTCATCCAATTCTATGATCTAATATAACAAATATATCACATTTTATTATAATTTACTTTAATTATAAGAAAAATGACATTTTGTATAACAAGTAAATGACACAAATAGTGTTACCTTTGATGAGACATCAAAGCGAGAGTTAGTGATGGAGTCGACGTCCCTTTCAGTGATCTCGAAATCATTAATTGAGAAATCGGTGTCAAAACTGGCCGACTGTTGATCGATAGGGGCTTTAAATTTATACTCTTTTTTGTTATACGACCAGTCGATAAGCTCTTCCTCTTCTGGACTGGGAGTTCGCGTTCCGACTAAATCTATTTGGATGTCGGGTCCGAACTGAACACACATTCATTAACCGATTACCAAATTATGTAAATAATCATTTTAATTATACACTTTATTTTAAAAATAATTAATATTTAAAAATTTATTAAAATTAAAATTTTAAAAGTCAAAATTTGAACATGATAACTTTTCGAACAACCTAATCAATAATTAGGCTGACATCAAAAAGTTATATGGAAATTGTGAATGCACCTTATTAGAAGATTTTAATCATATAACGTAAAATATATTTAAATAAGTTACGCCCATAACGTTTGCAGGGGATATATTTAAATTTTGAATTTAGTATAATTTTAAGTTCAAAGCTCACTAGGTCATATTATATGACCCATATAGCATTTAAAATGATTCCATTTGATACATACTACAAAACTAGGTCTCACATTGTGTATCTGGAATCACTTTAGGAATCTAAATTGGTTAATTTTTCAAGTTCATTTTAATTTTAAGTTATAAGTATTTTATTGTTATAAAATTTGCTAAAAATTATTATTTTGAAAATCTAATTAAACAGATTTACAAAAGTGAGACTTCTCTCTACGAACTAAAATTACACAATGAGAGGTGCTTTATGAATTGTGTCTGTATATATCGAATTCTTACCATTCTTGTTGAAAAATATTTATAAATTTTATTATGTACTTACAAAAAAAAGTAGCATAATAAATAAAAATATTTTGTAATATTTAAAGGATTAACTGGATATCTCGACCATGTCAGTTCAACGAGAAAACTATTAACCAGTTTATACTAACTGCATAAGAATCTATTATAATGCTATAAATTGTAAATTATTTCACATAAATTGTAATTAACCTATTCAATTATAAAAGTTGCCAATTTGAATATTTTGCTATTTTACGACAAACTTTTCCAATTTATATCTATCAACTCACAATTGTCAGTTCTGTAATAATACACAAATTATAGTTTGCACCTAAATTATTTACACTTATTCTGAGTTGTATATTGTATTGTTTCATTCAGTGCGTTAACTTATCTAGTTATATTGATTTCTATGCATTTCAATATAATTTAGTTTATGGTTTGCACAAATTTCATTTGATTGTTTTATACAATAGACAACTGAAATATTTTAATACATTTAATAATCAATATAAAATATTAGACCAACTATTATATTAAACGAGAGAATAAATAATTAAAATATATGTGAAATAGTGATAACGCTTACAGAATCGAGATTTGTTTCGTTATATTTTGGTGTGACATTCATTTGTGAGGCTCTCAGTTGAACAATATGTTCATTGGCTTTAGTTATAGCTCTTGTGAGTAAATTGTCGACAATAATTGCGGCCAATTGTCTGTATTCAGTGGCATCTGAATTGGTTTGTGTTGTCTCGCATTCCTTGTGTTTGAGAT